ACGCATACAAGAGGTAATGCTAAAATTGCCAGCCGGCTTGCGGCTAGCAGTGCGGGGTTAAAATTTGCTCATGTTCACCAGCTTTTCAATGCAAGGCAGCCACTCAGGCGCACATTTCTGAGCCTTATGAACTTCAATAAATGAAATAATACTTTCACGGAAATACTCCTTCGCTTCACGCATATCACGGTCTGCATGGCGGACAGCCATCCGAGACCTCCAGATACCGTGCAGGGCCAGCAACATAACAAGATCGAATGGGGCGCCACCCTCGTTTTCTACCGGCAGGTACCTAATCCCGTGAGAGTCAAGTGGAAAGTCTTTCTTCAAGGTGCGCTGTAGGACATCCCAAAGAAAGACGCCATCCCAACACTCCAAGAAGACGTGTTCAATAGTTTCTGGTTTTTTACATAGGAAACAATGAACACCCACGGGACAAACAAGCCCCTCTCTTCCATCCACGTTTTAACCGGTAATGTACCGGCATGCAATTTAAAGAAAAAAGACTTGACCCCGGGTGGAACTAACATCTTTTTCACACGTTTCAAGACGTCCTGTCCTGGGCCTGTAGAGTACATGGTCCTGTACAATGGAACAGGAAAAACAGCATCGCAAACATCCTTATACAACCGCTTACGGGTTACTCGCTCAAATATTCCAAAGAGAAACGGGCCGCCAAAAAGCGGCATGATGTGACTACTTCTTTGAGGTACCCATGAATACCGCCGGGCACACTGGACGAGGAAACAACAAACTCAGGCAAACATCGACCTAATCTTACTTGACAAACCGTACGCAAAAACGGATCACTAACATCACGAAAATAACAGTAACGGTTTACTAATTGGCGCAAAAACAGGTGCGATAAGCCTAGTCCTCCCTCGCGAACTCTTCGGAAAAGGTTCATTCTGCTTGTTCGCTCCCAAGACGAGCCCCAGATGAACACCGCAAAAACACGATGCAGTTTCTGTACGTTGAACACGCGAACAGTGTAACACCTGCAAAACGTACCACAGTTTACTCGCAAGAAATAAATTGCAAACTGTGGCACGCGCAAACGTCGAAAACCCATTACCCCTCCATTTTTCGGCTTTCTCGCGAAGGACTACTGATTGACTGCGCCAATATTCCTCACTCACACGATAATACTCAAGGGGCACCCCTAAGTACTTTACAGGAGTGGTGACCCATTTAACATTGGCAAACGCACTTGGGGTAACACTCCACTCTCCATGCCAGAAGCCCAGACATTTATGCCAGTTGACCGCACTACCACTTACACAACAAAAATGTTTGACTATATTGACAACACTGATGATACTCTCGTGATTCGTACAGAAAATAGCGATGTCGTCCGCATACGCAAGGACACGAACTTCAGATTAAAATAATTTAAACCCACTGACAATGTCATGCCTTATAATACTTAAACAGAGCGATTCCAAATAAAGGCAAAAAAGAAGAGGTGGCAAGGGACACCCTTGACGAACAGAGCGCTGCACTTGAATGCGCTTGCCTACGGAATGATTTATTACAAGGCGCGTTGTACAGCCGCTATAAGCCATGCGTACTCCTTCGCGGATCACTGACCCAATATTAACATGATCAAGAACAGCCAATAACACGTCGTGCGGTACCCGATCAAACGCTTTCTCTAGATCTATTTGTAGCACTGCCACGCCACTCTGCATGGCGTCGCAACACTCCAACACACTCCGTGCTTTATGAATATTCGTGAAGATAGTCCTACCTTTAATACCGCATGTTTGGTGGGGGCCAACTATTTCCGTAATTACAGTCTGTAACCGCCTGGCCAGTATCTTCATAAGTATTTTATAATCCACATTAGTTAAACTGATAGGTATATACGAAGTTACCTGTCGCAGTTTGACAGTGTCTTCAGTTTTCGGGATTAAAATGGTGTGGGACGACAAGAAGGATGGAGGTAGGACACCTAGTTCGAAAGCCTCATTGAAGACCTTGACCAGAACTATTGAAAGCTCATGCTTCAGCGCCTTATAAAATGCAGCGCTGAGCCCGTCTGGCCCAGGGGACTTTCCCGGGTTCAGGGCTTCAATAGCAAACAAAACGTCCTCGGCCGTGATGGTCGCTTCCAAAACCTCTTTTGTTGCGTTGTCTAACCGCGGCATTAAAGGCAAAAAGTCACGCTTAAAGCTCTCCACATCGACTGGACTCGCCGCGAATAGGGTACAGTAATAATCAAAAAAGGCGCGCTCGATTTCCACCCTGTCGCTCGTGACTGCGCCGTCACATTCGACCTCAGTTATCTCATTACGACGAGCGTATCTTTTTTCCATGCTCAGTGCTCGTTTAGTCGGCGCCTCCCCCGTTATGAACCGTTCCGCTCTCGCCCTGACAAGTGCGCCACGATAACGCTCTTTATCTAAAATCTCCAGTTTTTCCTTCACAGAACAAATGTCTTCTTTACATGCTCCCGGCATTCTGCATTCCTCTTTGACCAACATTTCCAAGTTCAAACGCAACACTTTTTTCAATTTTTTTCCTTCATTTTTAATTATACTAGCTCGTTCTAATGCCTTCATCTTTATCTCCTCCTTAAAATGTTCGCAGCTTAGCCTATACCCACATGCCTTTACATCCCTTAATTTTTCTATTGCGGCCTCGACATCAGCTCTAAAAATGTCGTCATCCAGCAGCTTACAATTTAGTTTCCATAAGTCCCAACTAAATATTTTTCTATTTCCCGATTTTTTTCCAACGCAGAACTTGACCAGACAGTGGTCGCTGAAGGAAATAGGACACACCGTGTAGTCGAAACAAAATGGTACCACCTCCAGCGATACATACGCTCTGTCTAGACGGGAATGACTGGTCCCTTGAAAATGGGTAAACTGAACGCCCCTCCCACTATTGACACATTCTCCCACGTCTTCGAGGCCGTAGTCGTTAACTATGTCGCTTAAAAGCACGGTGCTCGAGTCTTGGTACGGAGTAGAGCTTGTTTTATCGTGTGCAGAGCACACACAGTTAAAGTCCCCCAGAAAACAAACCACCCGTTCAGTATCACAGTAGTGCCGAACACTTTCGAAAAATATGCGCCTTTCCTGAACCCTAGTTGGCGCGTATACACAGATGATCCGCCACTCTCGATCCTCGAAAGAAAACTCGCAAACGACCAGTCTCCCCAACTCACATGTGGCCACTGAATGGATAACAGCCCCTAAACATTTGCGAACAAAAAAAAGTGAAAGCCGTTTACAACTTGCTGTAACGCCGAATTGGAGCGCAGCTCTTGAGGAGGAGGAGTGGAGGGTATGTTCCTCCTCCTCCCTCGTGATCATGCCTGCTAGTCCTCCTCCCCTCCTGCTCCCCCTCCCTCTCCTTTACCACCTCCTCGTCCTTCAAGCTCCTCCCCTCCCCTCGCCTCCGCCTCCTCGTCTCTCCTCCCCCCGTCCTCCACCTTCGTACTGCTTTCCTCCTTGCCGCTCAAGCCGGAAAGGGTCGCGTAAGAGCTGTGCTCTGAAATATAGAGTCAGGACAAATAATTTGGAGGGTTGAAATTTTATTGATTGGGGAAAAACCGTGGTGTATATTGGAAACTGCGTTGCATATCCGGGCAAGGTTTACGCTAATAACGTACAAAGCCAACGTACGCAATTGTTATACCAATGTACCTTAAAGTTTGCTCCGCGAGTCTCCAATTTACGTCCTGGATGAAAACCCCATTATTAATTTAACTAAACCGGCATGATCAGCCGCCGTGGCATGATGTTCAGCAGCCTCTCCAGTGTAGCAGCCAACCAGGACATGAAAAAAAAAAAAGCATGTAGTTAAGCAGTGGGCAAATCTTCCCAGGGTTTATGCTTGACATCCACGCTTAGACAGTTAGAAGTTAAAATGCTGCCTACCTTTTTTTGTCTCCTGTGCGTAAGCAGCAAAAGTTTTCACTTCTAAGCTTACAAGGGTTTCAAGGTGACGTGATCACCAGACTAAAAGTGTGATGGACACTGGAAGATGGGCACTCGGCCGAGTATAATATAAAAAAGAAAACACTTATAATAAGTGGAACAAGCGTAAAAAAAGACACTTTAGAGAAGCTTCAGGCAGGCACACCATCTTAAACTTGATAAGGGACTTACCCCAAACATGGTGTTGTGATTTGTTTAGATCTGACGCAAGATGAACTTCAATACTTGATGATGAAACAGGGTCATGAAAGTCGTCACATGCTTGGAACACACCTATAATAAATGTAGGGAAGCCGGTATGAACTGTGTTAATGACGTTTACAATGTTTTCGTCAAACGTCTTAACAATGCTGTCGGCCATGTTAAATTCGAATGAAAAATATTCAAGCTCTAGATACTTAGAGTGTGTAGTTCCAGTAGCAAAGGAAGGAAGAGGCCCCGAGCTATGACATTCCCTAAGTTCCAAATGTGCTCCAAGCAAGGGGGGGGGGGGGGGGGGGGCGGGGCGGGGGCGAGAGGGAACGGAGGGGAGGGTATGCCCCTCCTCCTCATCCGTACTCTCTCGTCGTCCCCTTCTCCTCCTGTGCTCCTCCTCCTCTTTTGAGGTATTTCAATTTTGCGATATACCGCACTGAACTATGTAATATATTGTGGTATTTTTGCTCACCGCTTGTACGGAGAAAGGGAATATACTTGTCAGATCTGGAAGCTCCAATGTGATTTACGATTGATGAGACCACTTGCTTGCACAACACGTATCTGGCATCTCCTCTCCTCCTCCTCCTCAACCTGACCGTCCTCCTCCTCCTCCTCTTCGTCTTGTACGACTTGCACGCTCCAACTGATAACGAAGCTGGTAGATGCTCCTCCGAGTGGCCCGCCTAACACCTCTCAAGGTACGCAAGACCGTCGGAGGGAACAATTTCCCAGCTTTCGTTCTTCTCCTCCTCCTTTCTTCCTAGCGTGCAGTCCATATCGTCGCCAAAGTTCGGCGTCCAAAATCCCCACAATATATACAAATATAGAGCAAGCTCCTCCTATACTGGTGCTTTAAATAGCACTCTTATCCCAGTCCTTGATTGTTATGAAGGAAGCCTTGTGATCTGAGAAGTGGCAGGATATGTGTTCCAGGTGATGGACCAAAGGCTGATTTTGAAAGACGAGGTCTATGCACGTGTTTCGAGAGGTCGTCACAGCGGTGTGAGCTGTTACGAGGGAGAGAAATGGGAGGTTTTCCTGCATAAGTGGTATGAAGTTCTTATCCTTCTTTAAGTCTGCATTAAAGTCCCCCACTACTAACATGGGTGTGGACCCACGTGTGCTTAACGCAAGTCGCAGAAAATGCACGATATCTTTGGTGAGTGCTGTAGGCGAGATATACAGAGCCACCACTACCAAGCCGTTGTCGAACTTGGCGCCACAAAGTTCTCCAACTTCGTCTGACGTTCCAAATATCTCGATGGGTACGGCAGACAGACCCTTACGCACGTAGGTGGCCACCCCTGCCGCTCTGTTGTGCTCTCTACTGACGCCGCAGCAGTACTGGTAGTCCATGATTTCTACCGCCTGTTTTGGATCCATCCACGTTTCCGAGAGGCAAAGTACAGATGCATGGCGTAGGACGGGGTCGTGGTGCACGTCCTTGGAATGCGCCGGCAGAGAGCGAACATTAAGTGCGGCGACCGAGAACAAGTGCGGTTGCTTAATCATTGCGTAGCACTTAGCAGTGACAGTTTGGAGTTTGTGTGACTGCAGCCGACGAAACTCATCAAGTAGTACCCTGTCGGGATTGGGCTTGCCGTGGTAGAACGTAAAGTCATTGTCCACATTGGTGAGGTAGAGCCCGTTGATGTCTGTAGCACGACTCAGTGCCACGTATACCAATTTCTGTGGATGACTTTTGGCATACGAGTACACCACGTTTTCATACGTGCCTCCCTGTGATTTGTGAATGGTGATAGCACTTGCTTGCACAACGGGTAGCTGGCATCTCCTCAGGGATATCCTTGACTTCTTATCAATGACGCAAGTGACTGTGCGTCTTTCGATAGGTGTCCAATTTTCCTGAATATTTCTGTCGAGTGCCCGTAACTGCCGGGATTTTGCGGCCGCCACGGTTCCAATCGCAATTTTGGAACCAAGCTCACCGAAATGCAGCCAGATGCGTTCCGGCTCTCGGAGCGTATCGTATTGTATGTACTGCAGTATTCCAACAGAGCCATTGACCAGACCATCGGAAACATCGACATTGAGTGTGAGCATATATGGTTTTCCAATGCATAGCATTATATTAGCTGGCAGGTTTCCGAGTTCGGCCTTGGGCAGCGTTTCGGCCTTGCGCATTGCCTCTGTCTTCTCCTGCATAGACCTGAATCCAACGATTGTGTCCCGTGCCGGACATGCCACACAATTATCTTCGGTTGCAATGGCCGTGTTCGTATTGTAGTAGTCCGATTCCTTGTTGGAGTAGTACAAGCGGATGCCACCGGGACAACACGTTTCTGCTTGTTGTTGCGTGACGAACCGACTCTGGATCAATGCGATTTCTTCGGAATCCAATTCTGCACCGTCTCCAATTTTGGTAAGTATGGTGGAAAACCTGAGATCGCTTTGCCTTACGACCTTCGTGAGGACAAAGTATGACAAATGGTGCCATGCGATTTCCGTGTTAAACACACTGTTCGTCTTGACGCGCTTGAAAACCTCGGCGGCACGAACGGGGGGAAGCTGGCGCAGGTCTCCGCAGAGGATGATGTCTAACCCGCCGAAAGGCTCTAGATATTTGCAAGTGATGATGCGGAGTCGCGAGTCCACTTTCTGAAGGATGTCGGCGGACATCATGCTAACCTCATCGATAATCACGCACCTGACGTTCCTGAACGCATAGCGGAACGTGTTCAACTCGTTGTCCCGGAGTCCGCCATCCCTATTGATGGTAAGTCTGAACGCTGCATGTACAGTTATTCCACCAAGCGCGACCGCCGCTTTTCCAGTTGTAGCACAGGCAACATAGGCGTTTACATTATCTGAACCAGCAGGGTTGCAATATCTGTTGTAGACGTCCATGATGAGACGCAGTACAAATGTCTTCCCACATCCAGCCACTCCCGTGAAGAAGATTTGTAGTGGCGGAGAGTCCGGTATAGTGAGTCTATGCACGACTTCTCGGACGATCTCGTACTGCTCCTCATTCGTCTTGCGCATTGTGTCCAGGTACTGATCTCTGCTCATGACGTCTTGGCGCGTGCACACGGCGGGGCACTGCTTAAACGGGGCATTGGATTGGACCATACCGATGTCTAGGAGATCGGAGTCGTCGTTTTCCATGGCCATCGGGTGCAGTCTCACATCTGGGAGCTCAGAAGTGGCACAATGTTCCCCGTCATTTGACTGGAGCATGGAATTACAAACGGCACGAATTTGCTCAATGTCTACGTCACTGTGGTACCGTGCCTTGTTCTCTAGAATGACGTCGACGTTTTGCTCATACAGACGCTCGAAACAGTTTTGGTCTAAGATGTCAACTTCTTTGCGGAATGGATAGAAAAGCAGGACATGTTCTCGCTTGAAGTTGACTGAATCGTCTACGGAGTAACCGCGGTAGCGAAGTATCCGTCGCTGATTCCTCTTTTTGTAGGTATATATGTTGTACTCGGTAGCGAACTCTGCTAGAGTAACAGGTTCCAATTCGGGAATGCGGTCTTCGTAGCGCTCGATCATCGTCCGTTTCCATACATCAGTGCTTGATTCTACTAAGCCTTCCTGCGCCATCTGAGCGTTAGACTTCCGAATGCGCGTCCTTTCCTCGGGCCATGCAGAGTTCACGAAGACAACTTTGCGACTCGCCTCCGACATATCCTGGTTGAGCAAACACCATGCGGCCTCCTGTGCGGACAGTTCAATGGCATTCAACATTTTCACACCTAGATGTCTCAGTGCCTGAGAATAGGCCATATCCCCCTTCTCCTTGACAATTTCTTGCACTGCTCGATTGAGGTTCGACATACCTCGGTTGGCCTTGTTTACATATTCCACCACGTAGGCAGCACACGCGTACGTGTCGATGACGATCTGAAGATCCATGTTAGAATCGAGAATTGATGCAACCCATGGGTTAAAGTAATTCACCCACTTTTGCTGCACAGTACGGGGTAGCATGATGGTGGCACGACGAGTGCCTGCTCGGAGAACAGAAATGTACTCCGCCTTGTCCGCGACACCGTGATGTTCCCAAAACTGCTCCATGGAGTCATAATTTGTCGTTTCCAGGGCCTGATGCATGGCCTCGTACTTGTTTAGGAGGCTCTCGATTTTCTTCTTCTGCGCTTCATTGTCCACAGTGGGGAAAGGCACTACGACCATACATTCATCGATGGGCATAAAAGGCGCGTTAAAGCGGCATCTGGTGGTGTTGTGCTTGTAGCAGGTATGCGTGTGTTGGTGCACCTGAGTCCGCTCCCGCTTCAAGCATCCGTTGTCGATGGAAAGCAGAACGTTGGCTATTTCAAGAGTCTGGGGCATGAGCATCGAGAGCTCCTCGTTGGGCGCGTTATGAAGCCAAAGGAGAATGTGCGCGTGTGCCGACCCGCGGTGCTGAAATTCGATCCGCTTAAAGTAGTCGACGTACGGCCTAAAAGGCGATACACGGGTGTTGCGGAGAATGTTGAGAATGACACGCACCAATCGGTCGAAATATATGGCACAGACCACGGGATCGTCATTTACTAGCTGTGCTCGATAAATGCTGTTCATTTGCTCCAGTGGTACTTCGATCTCGCCGGGCTTCAACCGAAGGCGTTGAAGCAACTGCAAAAGGTCGGGCCAGTGCATTTCCGAGGCAGAAAGAGTGAGGAACGCGGTCGGCTTACCCAACTGCCGTATCATAGCAAAGAGGTCTTTCTTGCGTTTTGTCCAGTACTGCACGGTGTTGGGAATACCATGCATGAAAGCCATGTCGTGCTCGACCGCTTGCTGCACAAAATCCTTGTCGAGCAACTGTTGCTTCGTTAGTGTTTCCAGTGCCTTTATGTTACGGAAGGCCACACACATGTCACCGGCTACTCGGTGCCTAAACACTTTCATGGCCATGTACAGTACGTGCTGCGGGGTGGCCCCTCGACGGTCTGATCTGCGGATCTCACTCATGGCGTGTGTGAAGACTGTCGGTTTTGCGCTGGCATCTACTCGGCGCGGCTCACCGAGATAGATCTGTGGGAACGAAAGCTCCTCTGAGTGTTCGTCATAAAGTATGCTCACGGGCCTTTTTCCCTCACCTGGCGCAATCGCTAGAAACTTGTCTTCGTCCCATACGAGAGTGTGCTGAGCCAGAGTCATGGCTGTAGCCACTTGGATTGGATCGTTGAGGTCGAGCATTGCGGGAGCAACTCGATCTCGTCGTGTTCGTCCACTTCTACGATATCCCCCAAACGGGCAAAATCGCACTTTATATTATAATGCTTGTACAGCGTGCTATCACACAGCAGCTTAAGCCACGGCAGCAGATCACATTTTTTTACTGCCCCTGCCAGGTAGGTCGTCTTCGCAAGCATGCGCCGCTTCAAATGTACATTGAGGGCTCGGTCTTGTTCGATGGCACGAGGCAACATTGTCACCATGTCGTCCACATCAACACAGACGTTCACTACTGGTCCCTTAATGCCGTGTTGACCTGCACCGTGCATCAGCCGTCGCAGTTGCATGAAAGGAATTCGTGGAGATATGAGTCTCTCACTCACCGCGTTCAATTGTGGGAGGTGGGCTGGCTTCGGGGGATATACATAACCGTTACTTGAGGAAAGATGAGGAATATGACCCTTGTGCACTGATTGTATGCAGGTCGAGCACAGTTTGAATTGGGTTAGGTCCGAGTTTGGAAATGATTGCTCTAGGGTCTCGTGACATCTGTCCGGTAGCGGTTGCAAGTCGTTTTGGAACCAGAGCCGATCACAGACTGAACATACGCTCCCAAACGGGTTGTCTCTAAACAGCCGTTGGAAAATTTTTGTTGCACCGTCAGGCTTAGCGATCCTTGCCTTTTGCTTGGCTTCCGCTGTGGCGGCGCTCACTCCTGGCTGCTCTCGGCGGCGGCGATGAGCCTCTACCTCGGCGTCGCGCACTTCCGGGTCCTCTCGATAGCGGCTTCTGGCTTCCGCTTCGGCGGCGCTCACTCCTGGCTGCTCTCGGCGGCGGCGATGAGCCTCAGCCTCGGCGTCGCGCACTTCCGGGTCCTCTCGACGGCGGCGCTTAGATTGAGCTTCAGCAGCGCTCACTTCTGGCTGCTCTCGGCGGCGGCGATGAGCCTCTGCCTCGGCGTCGCGCACTTCCGGGTCCTCTCGATAGCGGCTTCTGGCTTCCGCTTCGGCGGCGCTCACTCCTGGCTGCTCTCGGCGGCGGCGATGAGCCTCTGCCTCGGCTTCGCGCACTTCCGGGTCCTCTCGACGGCGGCGCTTAGATTCAGCTTCAGCAGCGCTTACTTCTGGGTGCTTTCGGCGACGGCGATGAGCTTCTGCTTCGGCGTCGCGCACTTCCGGGTCCTCTCGATAGCGGCTTCTGGCTTCCGCTTCGGCGGCGCTCACTCCTGGCTGCTCTCGACGGCGGCGATGAGCTTCTGCTTCGGCGTCGCGCACTTCCGGGTCCTCTCGATAGCGGCTTCTGGCTTCCGCTTCGGCGGCGCTCACTCCTGGCTGCTCTCGACGGCGGCGATGAGCTTCTGCTTCGGCGTCGCGCACTTCAGGGTCCTCTCGACGGCGGCGCTTAGATTGAGCTTCAGCAGCGCTCACTTCTGGCTGCTCTCGGCGGCGGCGATGAGCCTCTGCCTCGGCGTCGCGCACCTCCGGGTGGTCTCGACGGTGGCGCTTAGATTGAGCTTCAGCAGCGCTTACTTCTGGCTGCTCTCGACGGCGGCGATGAGCTTCTGCTTCGGCGTCGCGCACTTCAGGGTCCTCTCGACGGCGGCGCTTAGATTGAGCTTCAGCAGCGCTCACTTCTGGCTGCTCTCGGCGGCGGCGATGAGCCTCTGCTTCGGCGTCGCGCACTTCAGGGTCCTCTCGACGGCGGCGCTTAGATTGAGCTTCAGCAGCGCTCACTTCTGGCTGCTCTCGGCGGCGGCGATGAGCCTCTGCCTCGGCGTCGCGCACTTCCGGGTCTTGTCGACGGCGCCGTTTAGCTTCAGCTTCGGCGGCACGCACTGCAGGATCTTGGCGCCGGCGGCGCTGAGCCTCTGCTCGGGCAGTGCGTTTAGCAGCAGCTGCTTCATCTGACTCGCTCATTTTGTGAAAAAAAGAACTGCCTGATTACGTCTCGTCGTCGTCGTCTTTGTGATATCACTCATGCTGGATCACGGCGCCGGCGGTGCTGACCCTCTGCTCGTGCAGCACGTTTAGCAGCAGCTGCTAAAGCCCCTCCATCCTGACAAAAGTGGCTGCATTGATTGTTGTGAAAATGCTCGAGACACGTGCCGTGCACCAATTCTGGGAAGAACATGGCCAGTGTAACATGGCATCTGAAATCTAGTTTGAATGTGCACTGTGCCGCCATGATCTTTCCAAAGTCTGCACGTTGCACGTGCCTTGTGCATCGACGCACCGTGCGCTACTTTTAAGAAATGAACGCACTTTAGCAGCTTTTAGCTTCTCTTTGTTCTATTATTTTTCTGCTGCAGGGTTTTTCAACCGTGCAGCAGGAAAGCCGAAGCCGGCCGAGGGATAAGAGATAAGAGTCTTTTAAAATAATTTTTCGGAGAAATGAAAATTCGGATTTGTCCGCCCTGCTCATCCTCCCTGCTCCCCTGCGTTCTCCTCTTCCCCTCGCGGGGGCCACGTGATCTCGGGAGGGGGGGGGGAGGGGAGGGGGTAGTCACGTGACCCTCCCGAGGCCACGTGACCCCCCGCTGAAGTCAGGTGACCCCCTCCCCCCGAGGTCACGTGACCCCCCCGCGAACCATACTAGACAATGAGGGGAGGAGGAGGAGGGGGAGGAGGAGGAGGGCAGAGGTCCGGGGGGTCACGTGACCTCGAGGGGACGGGATCACATGACCTTGGGCGGGCCGTCACGTGACTTCGGCGGGGGGAGGGGAGTCACCCCCTGGGGTCACGTGACCTTAGGGGGGGGAGGGGGGAGGAGGAGGAGCGGAGGGGGAGGAGGAGGAGGGGCGACGCCGACGCCAACGCCGACGCCGCACAGGCTGGAAACGGGTCATGTGACCCCCTCCCGCCGAGGTCACGTGACCCACCCGGACCATACTACACAATGAGGGGAGGAGGAGAAGGAGGGGGAGGAAGAGGAGGAGGAGGGGAGGAGGAGGGGGAGGAGGAGCAGAGGGAGGGGCGCGGTTACGCCGACGCCGACGCCGACGGCGACGGCGACGCCGACGGCGACGCCAACGGCGACGCCGCTCAGGCTGGAAACGGGCCCCTAAGAGCTGCGCTCTAAAAGAACACATCCCACCGACTTCCCAACCGCGTGACTAACACAGGCGTCATAACGCGCCGTAAAAGGTCTCACCATGCGCTCCGTCTGGTCTTCGCCCTGAACTTTCGTTTCCTGGATCGCGACAACATCCAAGTCCTGCTCTGTCACGAGGCGATACAGCTGGTTCTGCCGCCTCCCAGCAGCCAGCCCTCGTACATTTAGGGTCGCCATTCGCATGCAGTAACCTATCTAGAGACACGATGGTAGAATGGTTCAGACGGAGCACTCGGTGCTTACCCCCTCAGTTTTACGAGGCGCAGTGTTCCATGCCCGCAGGCGTTCCGGCCGCCGTATTGTCACCGCGTGGAAGCGACGACGACCGCCCTTGACTGGCGACTCGCATCTTCTTTCCCCTTCCGCCGACAACTTTCCACTCCTTTTCAAGCTGACTAAGCCGACGCTCCTGCGATGCCTCAAGGCTGGCATCACAGCGACGCTTTGACGCTGCCCACTCGACTTCCATCTCCGAGTTGCTGTTGACATCGTCGCACACAGGAACATCCACTCCAGAGGCATTGACCTCTTTGATGCCCGACTCCGGCGTGGCCGACTGTTGCGCCTCCGGCTGCTCCGGCCTCGAAGCCACCGCCACCGGCTGCAGGTCAGCACCGCTCGTCACAGCGGTGGTGGTGGCGGCCCCTTCCTGCGCCTCCCTCGGCTCGGATTGAGCCGTTGCAGGCGCCGCTGCGCCCTCCGCCTCGTCCTCGTCCATAACGAGCTCGCTGTGGTCTCCGTCCGTGCCCCGCCCAACAGCACCCGCGTACGAACGTGTGCAGTCGGCCGACACATGTCCAAATGCGCGGCACTCGGAGCACTTAGGTACCCGGCAGTCTCGCCGAATATGCCCCTTGGTGCGGCATCGTAGACACATCGGAGCCCGGCCGGGAACCACCACCAGAACCGCGCCACTGCCAAGGCGCAGCTGGTGTGGAAGACGGTCCAGCGAGACGCCCTCGTGCAGCACCAGCCGGACGAGCCGCGTCGTAGACTCCACGCCTTCGAAGTCGGCGACCCTCCACTTCTCTCGCGTCACCTCTTTCACTTCGCCGTACTCCCCGAAGGCTCGTCGTATCGTGTCGTTGGTCACGTCGAACGCCACCCAATGCAACTTAACCCGCACTTCTTGCCTTGTCGGATTCACGACGAGGCACGCCTTCTCCTTGACAAGGAACTGCCCGACGTCGAGCAGCTTCTTCTTCGCTTCGTCCGACCGCATATCGAGGAGCCAGACATGCGACATCTGGTATGCCCCGATTCCGGTCACCTCCCCGATCACGCCGATGTCTTTCAGCGGCTTCCGAAAATCTTCAAGCCTGTAGGGTCTTCCGGAGATGTCGCAGTGCAGAATAACTGCACGCTTCATCGCCTCGCCGGCTGGCAATGGAGGAAGGACGATACGATAGTCGTTTGAACCAGAAGATGCCGAGTCACCGCGACCCTCGACGGCCGCTATCGCTGCTCGCACGGAGCCCATTCTGCGTCCGCTCCTATCGGCAGCCAGAAACAGAATGACTGAGCTAATCCACAGCTTAGAATAGTCGTGTTTACAATCCGTTTTATACGAGACCCAATAGGCGACTACTGCCGGCACTTTTTCCCCCCGGTTATTCTGCCGGCTGCCGGCAGAATAGACACTTCCATAAGAATAGGTAACAGCAGGGATGCTAATTATACAAACATTGCTTGGATGTGGGCTAGTTGACTAGACATTGTGATGGTTTGCTGCGCCACGTAGATGCAAGAAAAACGCTCTTGATAAAGATATGAACTAAAGCAGAGTATAGACGAAAAACAACATCAGGGGTGGAACTCATGAAATGTATTTGGGAGCAGCCACGGGAGCAGTTCTAACCGCTGTTTTGGAG